TTTTTTAAAACCCAAAAAATATCCCCCCAAACGTTGAAAAAAAAAAAAAGAAAAGGCAGCGAAACCTGCAGTTCGTCATCCGCAACGCGGCCGCTGCCCGGAGACTTTTTTTTTAAACCGGTTTAGAAACTTTTATCGCGCTTAACTGCGTGACCTCGCTGCCCCAAAACAACACTGGAGAATGTGCTTTTGTACCTGAGCGTTTGCTACTAAATCATTCACCGAGCGCTTTTTCGTCCTACCCTAGCAGGTTTTTGAAATATCAACAGCCCGCGCCGCATAAAGTTGACGCTAATAATTCTGCCGGCAACAACGACGACGGTAATTTTTCCTTTCTCCCTGTTAAAAGCGGCCTTTGTGACATGAAGCTGGGCACAGGTACTTTCACAAAAAAAAAAAAAAAAAAGGTATTTTATTATTCTTAGCAATATTCACCTTGAAGGAATATGAGGAAAGCATACACTTTTTACAGACAATATATAAACATGTTGTACATAATTAACAATAACTTAGTTCACTAATCCAAAAATAAGCAAAATAAAAAAAAATTAAAAACAGAAAATACTGCAGAATTTTTTTATGCTGATACAAGTACAAAATAATTTAAATCTCGACTGCCGTTGTCTATGCTGCAGTGACTGACAATATATTGCACTTTGTCAACTGTATCAGTAATCCCTGTCTTCCACCCACATCCCCTCCCCGCCCCCTGCCCCAATCCTACAGAAATTTGAGTCGGGTACAAATAACGTACAACTGTACCATTGTAAAGGTAAAAAGTAAAAAGGACCCAATTTTTTACCTCAGTAGATTAAAAATTCTTATGATTTCTCCCAACCAATTTTGTTTCCCGTTTATTTCCACTTCTTTACAAAGTGCACCTATATGCCTACGCAGACCAGAAAAAGGAGGAAAGCAGGATATTCCGTGGCTGCTTGGTCCTTAGTTCATTATCAAATATTTGAATTAGATATTTAGAAAAAAACAAAATGTACATCCACTGTTATTTGTTTCGTTGTGTTTTTTTTTTCTTTAAAGCAGGACTTCTTTTGCAGTAAAGATACAATTGGCTTGATCCAAAAAAAAAAAAAAAGAGTAACCCCAACAACAAAAAAAGTTAAAAAGTTAAAAAAAAAATAAAATAAGAAGCTTGTCACAGAGTTAAGCTTACGTGGTTTACATTATCAAACCCCTCTGCTCATTGGGGCATTTTCATCAGAAGTATAGCTAAATATGTACATTGTATGTTATAGTGGAGCTTGTGTTCACGAGAGGCATCAGATCATAACAATCAATAGAATACACTTCACATTGGCAATAGCTTTGTTTTCGGTCGTTTACGTACAATATGGTTTAATAACGGGGGATTTCTTTTTTTCCCTCTCTCTCCTTTTTTTTTTTGTTGGTTTTTTTTTTTTCCTATAAAACGCGCTACGGAAAACGGACGTTCCCCTAAGAACGGTGCTTTCCCTCGTCTCATCAGCTGTCGCTGCGTCTGGGATTTGACGGATGTGTGAAGCTCAAACTGATTGTCTCTCCCTTTCCCCTCTCCAGTGATCTCAGCCTCGTTTCTGCCCTTCCTCCCTGTGAAGTCCACCGGGGCCTGGCCGCCTGAGACAGCACACGCGCGGGCTGGCTGCGTGGGGACGTGGTGGCCACACTGCCGTAAGTTTACCCAAGCAGCTAAGCTGCTTTTTTTTTTTTTTTTTAAGTGACAGCTGCCAACACAACAGAACAAAATGCTTCAACCTCCAAAGTCTGCGCGCTGGATGTTTTTATGCCCTGCGATGGTTTCTGCTGCGCTAGAAGTTAGCTGCGACGCAGACTGGTGAATGCCGGTATCTCGCCCCTCGCTAGTGCAGGATTGCCTTCCCACGAGTCTCTTCCCAACAGTTTGTCCGATCTAGCTGTCTGTTCTGAGGAACAATAGGGCATTTGGGAGGGGGGACTGTTTTTTTTTTTAATAAATCTTTCATGTTAGGGAAAAGAACGAAGAAATTGCGTCAAAGTAATCACCATCTTGGGCACATTAAAATCCCGCATTACACCTAAATTTTTGCTTTATTTCTTTTTTTTTCTCTCTCTCTCCTTCTCCCCTTCCTAGCAGATACTTTGGTATGAAAGACAGATGAAGTTAATCCAGTCCCCCCCTCCCCTTGTTATGAAGCCAGGTTTTCTTGCAGGGTGGCGATTCCAAACAACAGCACAAAAACATGCAATCAGAGGGGTTGAGGCGTTTTGTGGAAAACATGAGCAAAATAAATATGACTTTGTGTCTGATTTCATATTAAAAATTAAGTTTTTATAAAGATGTCCTTTTTTCTTTTTTTTCCCCTCCCCAGACAAAGTCCACGATAGAAATCCAGCATGTGTGGCTTCCAGTGAGCCGATTCCATCCTGGGAGGCTGCTAGTATCTCTTTACAATATTCACAGTAATACCAAAGAGAGAAAGAAAAGCCAGTTCCAGCCTCTTCCTTCAGCTTCTGCCACCTTTTGCTTTCTGCTGGACCATTTCTCATCGAACAGGCGAGTTCTTCTTTTTCCTTATACCTGAGGGGGCAAAGTGCATTACAGGCACCACTATGCGTTTCTGCAGAAGACCCATCGTTTGCAAGGTTTTAGTCCAGCATTAAGAGTTAAACCACATGGGAGCAGAGATCTCCTTTTGCCATCCCTACGTTCTCCTCTTGGCAGAACCTTTTCTTACTTGGTGTTGTCTTAGGCAAAGCCCCAAGGTCTTAATCTCTGGGTGGTTCTCTCGGTCATCGGGTTTTATCCCATGGCTGTAACCATGCTGGATGGGTGTGGATGTCCGAATGAGATGCTGGAAGATGGGTGGATGGGGGTAGGTGTTGGTAGGATGTGTCCAGAGTGGCTGAAAGGTGGCAAATGCCCCATGGGCGCCATGTGACTAGCAAGGGCAGCAGCGCTGAAGGGAGACGATTTCTCCTGCATGCACTTGGACAGTTCCTCAAAGCACTCGGAGCCTTTCTTGCTTTTCTTTGATTTGTTGGACATTTTCCTATTCCTGGTCTGAATTCCTTCCTTTTTCATGGTCAGAGGCCTGTTCACCTGCAAGAAATGAGAAAATCAGGCTCATGCAGACAAAATGACCTTATTGTGCAAAAATGAAAATATTTGGACAGCCCCCATGTGTTTTTCCTGGATGGAGACCTTTTTCTGGCCAAAAAAAATGGTGTTTCGCTCTGCAGAACTTGTTTATATTGATTTGTTTAATAAAACCACACACACAAAACAACCCCTAGACATGAAAAACAAATTGAACTGAATTTGGCAGCTGAGGACTCTCTTTCCCGTAGGCTTACCCCCAGTCCTCATTCATTTCCTAATAGAAGAGATCAAACTAGGAGGCACACGTTGACCCAAATTCACTCCTAAGAGAAGAGCAATCTTGTACCAGTAACCTCTGTTCCTTACAGTTTAAATAACGTTCCCATATGTCAAGTGATTCCTGCTTAGGTTTAATTTCTTTTTAAAAATTTTAAAAAAGCCTTAGATATAATTGTTTCTTAAGAAAATCAACACGAAGATGCCCTATTGGGATTAATTTTTGCACAGAGCGCATTTCAAACGGCCTCTATGTTTCTGGAGGGCAACCGCACACAAAACGTGCTTAGTTAAAACCAAGTGTTGTAACTCTATTTTGCTTGATTTGCCCAAGCGTTAGAAGCCAAGCTAATACATTGTAATGTCACTGAACTTAGCATCACTATGCCTACAAAGAATGGCTGTCACTTCCCAGGGGAACCTTAGAGACGGGGGAAGGAATAAAACAACAACCAAAACCCTGAAACCAATAAAAGCCTAGTGTACACCATGCAGTTAAGACATCAATCGCAGCTAGGCAAGCAGCGACACATGAGACGAGCAAATACTCACATTGTGCAATTTATAGTAGAGTCCACAGGCATTGCAAACTGGGTCCCCGTTTGCATTACGTCGCCATAAGGTCGTGGTGGTTGTCTGACAGTTGGCACAACAAGTCCCTGCTCTCCTAGCCGCTGACTAACCAAAAGAAAAAGAAAATTAATAACGTACTGGCAGGAGGAGGGAGATCAGAGGAAAGGTCAGGTTGGGCTCAGCATTGAGGTTGGGTAGAACTAATCCCAAGATTTTACAGAGCATCAAGGCTGAAGGAAAGCGCCTATCAGTTTTACATTTTGTTGCCGTTGGGTTTTTGTTTAAATGCAAGTATTCTCCTATGCTGACTGCAGCTCCAAGCCCCCTGGCACCATGTGCGCCGGGGAAGTAGGGAGGGAAACAATGCAGCTCTTTTTAACTCTCCAAACACAAAAATTTGGCGGGGGGAAGGACATCTGACTCGTGCGAGTCTTCCCTTTGCAGGACCCTAGAAAGCGTCGTGAGAAGACATTTGCTTTTTTTTTTTCCCCCCCAATACCTACTTAGTTTATTCCAGTGTTGGGATTGGGTTTAAAAAGAGGGAATGATCTTAAAGAATGTGATTTTTCACCCCTACTCTGGCCCTTTAAAGATAGCTACAAAAGAAAACCAACTGCATTGCTTAACTGGGTGCAGTATTTATCAGAGCCATCACTGAAAATTCAGTTTCCATTTACAAGTGAAAGGGAGAAAACAAAACCGGCTCCAACTTTCTTTAAATATTTAGCAAACCAAATTTCATGCCTTGCAGCAATGATTCTGCTGACCCGTCTGCCGCCTCTGTCCCTACTCAGTTCTTACTCAGTTCCTTGGCTGACAAGCCCTCAAACAACCATCTTTAAAAAAAAAAAAAAAAAGACCTTTCTAATTCACATTGTTCTGCTGAATTGGAGGTGGGGGATGGGGGGGAAGGAAAAAATACCCAAAACATTCACCTACCCCCCAAAACCAGAATAGGAAAAGTAGAACAGCAGGCAGCGGCCTTTGTCTAGCGGCTCTTGCAACAGTTCCTTGTGCAAGGGTGATACTGTTGGAAGTGCTGAAGATGAACTGATTGCAGCCCATATTTTGGGAAGGAATTTCTCACTAGGAAGCTTTAGCCGTGCCTCTGGAAGTGGTCAGAATACAGTCCGATCTGTGCAATTGGATGAATGCGGAGGACTAAATATTTTCTTTTCTTAAATTAGCACAATTTACTTTCCGATGCATATCAATTGCATTAATTTCCCCGGGGCCTTGCTCCCTGGGTATTTTTGCGATTAGCCACAAGAGAGCCATAGGGTGAAGGGCCAGCGAGGCTGACGCGAATGCGCGGGGCATCTCGGGGAGCTGGCCGACAGCAGAGCGGCGAGGCAGCGGCTTTCCCAAAGGAGAACTTTGTGCGCGTCCCGGCCGGCCGGCTCCGCTGGGGAGCTGGCGCGGCTCGAAGCGCACGCTGACCCCGCTCGGCAAAGACGAGCGCCGGCTTCTGTTCTCTCTTGCTCCTGATTTACACCACGGCCCTATAACTGTCCCAAAGCTGATGGACAGCTCAGCAGCTTCAGGTGAGAACCTGGCCCTTGGAGACTCATATATTTTCGGTCCCTTACTCGCCTGTGAGAACAGGCCAAAGGTAGAAGGCAGGGGTCCCCCCTACTGTAAGTACACTCGTGCCACCCCAACACAGTTAGTGCCAGACCTCCAAACACGGACATTATTGATCTGATCGCTTTCCTATGGCTTTTCTGATGAACGAATTCCCAAAGATGACCATCTCCTCTCCCCTACAAACAAGCCAACTACAGTGGAAAAAAGGGGCAATAAACAAAGCCGGAAATCAATTTAAAAAAAAAAACATTTAAAAACAACAACTAAACTGGAAGCAAACCTCCCTAGTTCCCCCAAATCCCTCGCAGCAAGCTAAGTATAACAGTCTCCCAACACACTGGAAGGTGGAGACCTCTGTTTGCATATTTGAGATGGCTTAGTGATATTCAACTATGCTGCTTAACTCTATGGCCTGTCCCATTCAGACTGGAAAGCACTTGAGCCTGAGAGACGATAATGTTACACTGTTGTCTTAACATTTTTCTATATGTCAGTCACTTTAGAAGGCAAGTCATTAAGAAGCTTGCATAGTTGAAATTCTGACTCAGGACAGAAATCTTCTGTATCCCATCCCAGCAGTAGAGCAGTAACGCCAAATTTCTGCTCTCCGCTGCGCTCCCAGCCTCACTTAAACGTGCCCACGAAAGGCCAAGAGATTTAGGTACCATAAATCACAAAGCTCCAAAAAATATATTTATTATTCTTAGCATTTTACGCATTATTTGTGGAGTAGAGTGTATTAGAAATTTCAAAACAGCAAGCATGACTGGCAAGGCTTGCCTATAGAAACTCTCTAAAGCTTTTAGAGTCAGGAAACAGATACACAAAGTTTCCTTATCTTTAACGTACAGATATCCGGATAGGAAACTACTACCAGGAGCTTAGAAAGGACATTTTTTTTAAATCACTCAAATGAAAATACAAAGTATAGGTGACTCCATGGAAAAATAATAGGATTTTTTTTTAAAACAGTAGGGGATTGTCTGGGGAGGGAACCAATATTAATATTGCCAGAGAATATAAGAGTGAAAATTACTTCATGGCTTTTATACAAATAATTATTAAGTAGGGAGCAGTAGCTTTGACTCATCTGATTTGTTTTGCTTTTTAGAGCTGGAACTTTTTTTTTTTTTAGCACACGGTGGAGGACATTCACACTCCTAACCCTTTCAGTACCAGCGGGCTCCCAAAACGTCCCGAGAGGCCAAATGAACGAGGAATTAAATTAAAAGCTGTCATTTGA